CTGTCGTTTTACTTCGCATCTCTATACTCAGTTTCAATCGCCATAATACCCCCTTATTGAGCCCGACTTTTGCCTTCAAGGCTTTTGAGAAACTAGGCAAGCTGTGGGAATGCGTTCAATGAATATCGCACGATTTCACAGGGCGCACATTTGCCCGTTTACCTCTCGTCCCCAACAATGGCGATTGGCTACGGCATATCACCACTGGCAAAGACAAGTGTATCTTCTGCTCTAACCAAACGCGGAAGGCTTAGGCAGCAGTGGCTTGAAGTATGCAAGGCTATACTTTCATTCCCCTGACCGGACATTCACTGGAAAATGGTGGGTAGTGTCAAGTTTCTGCAATTGTGACAGCTCATCCGGGGTGATGTCCTCTCTGCAGAATAGAGGTTGAAATGAGCCTGGCCTCACGTTTGCTGAAAACGTCAATCTGTGTGCAGTTCTTGGAAACTTCAAATATATTAATCGGGAGTTGATGAATTATTTTGAAACTTTGAGGAACTGAAGAATCTCTGAAATAACGGCCACGTCCAGTGCACAGAATTCAGGAGAATCAATGATGCGCGAGGAAGAATTGAAAAACCTGATCAAAAAGCAGCTTCCGATTCCATAATAGTAAGATCATGATGGAGCAACAAAGCTAAAGAAGATGTTCTAAAGATGAGTATTGCATCACATTTAACTCAAGCTGTAACTCGATTTAGATAGATTACCAGCTATTCCCACGGCTGAACATATCAGTGATGAATTCCGTATTCACGGAGTTCAAGCCGAGTAACGATGCATGCATGGCACATGGTATATGATATTAGTTACCCGACATTCCCATGACCACAGTGCGGTCCCATCATTTCCTCGTTTACTTCTTTTCCTTTTCCATTCTTGGGAAAGCCGCTGTTCCGGCTACAGTCTCATGGCGGCAAGAGACTTGGGAATTTCACGGGCTTAAGTTTTGAACATATTCTGCTCGTCGAACAAATTTTAACGTTCTGCTCAGTTATTCCTGAAATGAATTCATGGAGTCTTTAAAAAGTCCAAGACGGTAGTATAGAACCCTGAACTAGCAATCGAATTTGGCAATT